CGCTCCCGCAGCCTCCTCCCCCCGCCCCCCCACCCCGGCCCGAAACGCCGCCGCGGCTCCCGGCAGGTCTGGAGAGAATAGTAATAACCTTGAAGGCTCCGCACTTTACAAAGTGGGCTGAGTTGGTCGTCACGACTACCTGTGTGAAGTGGGAGGGGCAGAGCCACCGGGCCCCCATTGTGGGGATGAAGAAACTGAGGCTCGGGCCTGGGGGGGGGGTGCCGAGACGGGCCCAAGGTCACACGGGGAGTGGGCGGCACAGGCGGACGCCCGGCCCGGGTCGCCGCACTCCTCCTTCTCCTGGGCCCTCTCCCCGTTACCTGGGGCTGGGTGCGAAGTAAGAGTTCGGGGGGGCAAACCGGGGCCCTCGCTGCCTGGCGGCGGGGAGAACCGGGGCCGGGGGAGAGGAAAGGGAGTACCTACAGCCCCAAACCCACATCAGCCAGAAGGGCTGTTTCCAATTATCCTGGGGGAAGGGAGGAGGATTTGCCTTTTCGGGTGTAAGAACCCTCGCTTTCAGCACCTCTGGGCAGAGGTGACATTCCTCGCCCCGCTCAGCCGTCGCAGGCCTCCAGGCCCCTGGCTCTGCAGAATGGCGAGGTCCCACGTCAGATCCCCTGCCCGAGGGCTCTTAGGGGCCCCCTTCTCGGTGTTTGGCGAGGTTGGGGGTGGGGAGCAGCCCCTGCTTGCAACCACACAGCCGCCCCCCACCCCCAAAGCGAGCAGATAAACGGAGACACAGGCCCGGTGACAGCTGCCGCCTGAGCCGCTCCCGCCCCGGTCCCGCACCTAGAACGGGACGTCTGTGCTTCTCGGCACCTCTGCCCTCTCGTGTGTGTCCTTGACTCGGGCTACTCAGTCCCTGCCTCCTGGGGGAGCCCAGGGGAGGCGGGCGGGGGGCCCTGCGGCTCCCCTCCCCCCCGCGCTGAGTAACGGTCCCTGTGCTGCCGGGTGGTGGTAACCAGCGTGCCGCGCGAGTGAGCGGGCGTCCTGTCTGTCACTGTCTGCACGGTCTCACGCAGTCACACCCAGCAGTCTGACACACGGCGCCTGCCACCGCTGCTCAGCCGCGCTCACCCTGACCCTGCCGCCCCCACCTTGGGAGTGAGATTTCAAACAGGTTCCCCCTTCAGTTTACCGAGTTGCCTAGCAACCCGCCAGTCAATGGCATGGAGCCCCACCCCCACTCCCTTGACTTCACACCGAGCTCCGCAGCCCCATTGGCTCGCGCCTAGTCCCACCTCTCACCCTGGTTTGGGGAACAATATGCCAAGCCCTACCGCTGCTGGACAAGGGAGCCCGCGGGTACCCCTCCCGGCCCCATCTCCATCATGCGCCTCCCAAAAACAGACACAAAGCCTCCGGTACCACACAGAACCTTTTTATACAAACTCGCCCCCGCCTTCCTCCGTCTCCCCCGGCCCCTTCTTGCCCTGGCGAGCATCAGCCGCCCTGGCGTCGGGGCCCCCCCCACACCACCAGAGCTGAAGCTGACATTCAAGGTGGACGTGGCGCATGGAAAGCAGGGGAAGGTCTGCGCCCTGCTCCCCGTCGTCCTCACTGTCCGCGGGCTCCGGAAACACGCGCTGACCCGAGGCAGTAGCCAGCAAAGGCAGGCTAGGGTGCAGGCTGCGGGGAGAGAGGCGCGCAGGGCACGTCAGCACCTCAGCGCCCCCCGCCCCCCAGCCTGAGCCCCCAGAGCCGGGCGGCACGGGATCACCTCACTCCATTGGTGCAGTCCTTCTGGGGCAGAAAACTCAGCACGGGCTCCGGCTTCCCCTCCTGTGCAGCCCCGCTGGAGTCCCACACAGACACAGCCCCGTTAGTGCTGCCACTCACTAAGAACTGCCCAGTCCTGGGGGAGAGAGACGCCCGGTGACACGGAGTCCTCACCCCCGGGGCTGGGACCTACAGCTGGGCTCCGGCAGCCCTGGGGCATTGGTACCCTGGGCCGCAAGGACCCGGTCACTCACGGATCCAGATCGAAGTAGATGCGCTGGTTGGTGGTCACCTCTCGACTCAGGGACCACAGTGGGTGACCAGGCTGCCGGAGGTCCCAGCACAGCAGCTCGGCATCCTGGAGACACAGAGCAGGGGGGGCCTGGAGTCCATCCCTCCCCTGCCCACCCCCTCCACCCCCCAAGACATCCCTGCTTCCCTCAAGGTTTACAGACGCTCCCTTAGCTTGGGTTAATTTTTTCCCACGTCTGTCCCCCAACACAGCACGGACTACGTCCCCATTCCTGCCTTCTGTGCACCCTCTCTGGAATCTCGGGACGTGACCCCTACCTTGCGGGCTCCTGAGAAGAAGCGGTTGCCATCGGGGTGGAAGCAGAGGTGAGTGACACCTCCTTGGTGTCCTCCCAGCAAGGCAAGAGGGGAGCCACCATCACAGGCATAGAGACCCAGGGACCGGCCGTAGGAGCCACAGGCGTAGAGGGGCTGGGCTGGGCTGAAGGCTATGCAAGATATGATACCACTCTGGCCCTGCTTTTTGGCTAGACAGGGAAGGAACAAAGTTGGGCAGAGGGCAAGGACACCTGACAGTAGCGGGCTAATCAGAGCTGCATCTCTGTCTCCTGTCCCATGAGCCGGGAATGAACGCCTCCCCTGCCCCGTTTGTCACAGCAGGATAAAGACCTCTGAGGCCCCCCAGATCCTTCCATCCCCACAAAGGACCGAAGTGCTCAAGACTTATTTCTTCCTTCTCAAACCTGTGTCATCTTGGAGGGATGGAAAGCTGAAGGCTTACAGGAAAATGAAACAGCTTCACCGCCAATTTCCTAGAGATACCAAGATTTTGGAGAGCGAAAGGGACACCGCCGACAGAGCCTGCGCTCAGGAGTGAAGCAGCTCCTTACCGTGCAGCTTGACCCTGGGACAGTTTCACCCCCTCCCTAAACCTGTTTTCTCCTCTGCCCACTGAGTACAACCTGCCTCCCTGAGCTGTCCTGAAGATGATGGGCCACGCCCGGTCCCCTGGCTCGCATAAGGCCCCTCTGCACAGGGCGGTGCCCTTTTCCTTCCTCCTCCCCTGGGGGGCACAGATGCTTACCAAATGTGGCTCGGACCTCACAGTCACGGCCAGGTCGGGCCGTGGAAAAGACGCGCACGGTCCTGTTGAAGCCACAGAAGAGCTGGGAGCCATCCGGGGAGAAACAGAGCGAGTGGGCTGCCGTCAGCTCGTCCTAAGGGCAGGAAAGCACTGCAAACAGGCCCAGCAAAGCCTCAGCGGTCCCCAAGGAGGGAGAGCGGGGCCAGGATGAGCCCTGGGCCTGGACGGGGAGGTCCCTACCAGGTGGTTGTAGGCCCGAAAGGAAGCCCGGAGCTCTCCGGTGAATGCATCCCAGATGTGAATGGGGTTCTCCCGGCTGCTGCTGGCCACGCTGAGAGAGACACGGACACTGAGGTCCCGGTGCTGTCAAAGGAAGGGGAGGAAGCCAACTGACCGGCCCTCTCTGCTTGCATCTGAAGGGTACACCAAGCTGTCCTCCCCCAGAAACCCCTGGCACCCCTAGCTCCCTCTCAGTAGAGGGTCCCCTTAAAACAGAGGTGGGGGGACGGGATGGGAAGGGAAGGCGGGGACAGGCAAAGGACATCACTTACTAGGAGGTGTCTGGCTCGGTTGAAGACATCAGAGAATACCAACAATAATCATAGATGGTGTCGCCTTCCACCATGCGAAGGACAGGGGCCTGGACAGAGACGCAGGGGATGCCTGGGTCACTGGCAGGAGAAGGAGGCCGTCATGCCTCCAGCAGTACCGTGATGGGGGGCGGGGGGTGCTGTCTGTCGGCACTTAAGCAGGCAGAAGGCAGACGGGGTTAATATGAAGAAGAGAATCCTGATCTCAATGTTCCAGGGTCAGCTCAGACTCTGATGTCAGATTTGGGCCGCCAAAGCCATACAGGTTTATCCTTTTGCTTTTTAAACGCTTAGGAAGAAGCAAAGAACATATCCCAACAAAGAAACCAAGAACCAACCATTGATACAAATACTTACTGAGCACCTACTAGATGCCATTTGATCCTTTAAAAAAATTATTAAACGGTTCAAACATGCACAGAAGGTTTTTTTGGTTTTTGGTGGGCAGCAAAACCAAGTTTATGGAGCAATGGTACAAAGCTCCCGAAGAGAGAGGGGACCTGAGAGGGCTGCCCAGCAAAGAAGTATTTTTAGAAACTCCTGTGACTCCTCCAACCAGCTTAAAAAATAAAATATAAAACAGTTAAAACTTCTTCCCAAGAAAACCTTCCCTCAGAGGTAAACACTATCTTGAATTCATCATTCTCATCCATCTCTTTAGAAATACATTCTTTTTTTTTTTTTAAAGATTTTATTTATTTATTTGACAGAGACACAGCAAGAGGGGGAACACAAGCAGGGGGAGTGGGGGCGCCTAGGTGGCTCCGTCAGTTAAGTATCCAACTCTTGATTTGGGCTCAGATCATGATCCCAGGGTCCTGGGATCGAGCCCCACATCGGGATCCCTGCTCCGCGGGAAGCCCGCTTCTCCCTCTCCCACTCCCCCTGCTTGTGTTCCCGCTCTCGCTGTCTCTCTCTGTCAAATACATAAAAAATCTTAAAAAAAAGAAAAAACCACCACCCAAACGCGAAGTACACCATTGTCCTGCATGCCTTTCCGTTTAGTACCAATGGTGCAGACGGTCCACCTCTCTGTGACGGGGGCCGTGGCCACGGTGACACACCGAGCTCCACAGCTCAGGCACCTTCGCCGCTGGGCAGCCCCGCTCACCATCCTTCTCTGCGACAGTCGACAGTCGCGGCGTTTCTCCGCATTCCGGTGGCTGTGCTTTCAACATTCGGGAGCAGGGGTGCGAGGGCAGCTCTACGGCCGCTCGTCGCCCGCCCCACGAGAGGGAGCCACGCTCGGCCCGAATGCCACCCCCCCCCCCAGATCCACTCTCCCACCGGCAGCCTGTGAGTGCCTGGTGCTCGGCGTCCTCTTGTATGCCAGACCCTCGACTTCTTCCCAGGTGGCGGCTGAGAGAGAGAACCCCACCGTGGTACAAACCGGCACCGCCCTGGCGACCTGTGCTCAAGGTCACACAAGAACACCTTGTCGTAACTTCTGCTCCTCTTTCTACCGGGTTGTTATCTTGTCCTTACTGATGTGAAGGGACTCTTTTGAGACAGTGGGTGACCGTCCTTTGTCAGCTGTTCCCTGGCCTTCGGCGTGACGTCATGCCCCAGGACTTGCGTCTCCGCTCTGAACCCACTTATCAGACCGCCCGGCACGCAGCTCCAGGCACGCAGCCCACAGCCACCTCAAACTCAGCTGGTCTGTGACGGACCCAGCTCCCGCCTCCTTCAAACCTCCTGCTCCCCCCGGGCTCCACACCCAAATGTCTAAGCGTCCAATCCGAGCACCAGCCCGGACCACTACGGCTCTTCGCTCCCTTTCCACTCCTGACCAAAGAGGAGCTGGCGACACGAACCTCACCAGGCCCGCCTCCAGGCGCTCCTGAACGCGTGCACTCCCTTCCAGTCCCGTGCCAAGCCGCCGCCCTCCTGCTAACATCGCTGCAATTCTGCAAGTTCTCCAGGCCTCCCTGCACCGTCACGCTCCAAGCTGCCCATCCGTTCTCCACGCTGCAGCCACGGCAGGCCCCAGAGGCCTTGCTAAGTTGGCATTCTGTCCAGCATCATGCTCCCGCTTAAAACGTTTAATGAGTCCACGTAACCCTCAGTATAAACCCCAATCTCCTTACCAGGTGGCTACCCCCTACTCACCTCTCATGGCTCATCCCTCCGGACTCACTCCTTTAAAATCTCTATATCCCACCATTTTGACTCCCAGTCCCCAGAAGGTGCCAACTCACCACACCCTCGATCTGCAGGCTTTCACTAGCATCCAGGTCTGGAATATTCTCCCTTCACCTCCCTCAACAACTCCTTCTGGTTGAATCCTAATCACTCTTCTGGTCTCTTAGATGCTTCTTCCACTGGGAGGCCTTCCCTAACCCCTCAGCAGAGCAAGCTGCCCCACTCCAGGTTCCTACAGCCCTCCGTGCTCCTCACTCCACACCACACCCATCAGAGGAGGCAAGAATCCTATCTGTCTGGTTCACCACTGTTTCCCCAACACCTAGTATATTATCAGCAGTCAATGACAAATGTCTTAATGAGCAAACAAAGACAGGAGACTGTTCCAGTAATATAAGGACCCCAATAATAAGACCTGAATTAAAGCAGGGGCAGCAGAGTGGGAAGAAGCAAATGGATCCGAAAGATTAGGGGGACTCGATGGAATCTGGCAATTAATTGGATGTGGGGGTCAGGGAAAAGGAAGATTAAAGGATGAGACCCGGGCTTCTGGTTTGGATACCCAAGGTCACCAAGATGGTGGAAAGACTTGGGGTGCACAGGAGAGCCATGAGGTGTTAATGTCCTTGGTGGATAAAGGAGACTCACAGAGCATAAGCCTCAAAGGAAAAGTTTTTACAAAGAGAGAGCACAATTGTCTGAATATAACATCTAGGAACAAGGACAGCCCCCCCACCGAACCTGAGATACGCAGGGCACAGAGGATGTGCGGTCTCCCCTGGCTGGGCTAGAGGGAGTGAAGGCCTCGAGCAAAAGCTCCAGGGTAGGAAAAGAACTCAGGGCCGAGGTTGGGGAGTTAGGAATGGGAGTTTCAGAAAGCTCTGTGAAAAGTCAGAGAGGAATTAGGAAACTATGTTGGGAAGAAGAAACGGGTATCTAGAAATACTCAAAATCGGCCTTCCCCGATTTCCCCACCTACACTAACTGTGTCCATTTCCAAATACTGAGCTTGCAGACACAGAAAGTGAAATTCTCTAATGAACGAAGCTGTGATGGATCTGGTACACTCACACTGCTAACAGCAGATCAAAAGCAAAAAGCACGAGAGCCTTGAAGACAAGTCGGCTACTGGTATCACGAGACATGAAACAACTACGGGGTACTCCCGACCCGGAGTATCCCTTACTCATAAAATGTCTCTTATGGAAAGACTCTCCATCAAAACACATGAAGATGGTCACTGAATAATTTATGATACAACAATCCTGGAAACCCAGACGTGTGAAACGGGACTAGGTACAGGACTGACTGATCAGAGGCACCCAGCGCAGCATCGGACACCAGGACACACGACTATGGAGACCAAAGCACCATGGAAACCACTCAGGATACGACTGTTAAGAAATAAAAAAGCGGGGTGGCTCAGTTGGTTAAGCAACTACCTTTGGCTCAGGTCATGATCCTGGAGTCCCTGGATCGAGTCCCGCATCAGGCTCCCTGCTGGGCGGGGAGTCTGCTTCTCCCTCTGACCCTCCCCATTCTCATGTGCCCTCTCTCATATAAATAAATAAAATCTTAAAATAAATAAATAAATAAATAAATAAGCAGTCTACAAAACCATCTGCTATATGATCATAACCACATAAAAAGCTTCCCTGCAGTACACAGCTTGAAAAGAATGGACAAAAACGTAAAGGGCTGACTTTTGTAGAGTGGTGGCTAATGATGGTTTTTCCCTTAATAATCCTGTTTCTCATAAACGAGCTGGTGCAATCCATTCCCAACCTGCCATGGTTCCAGAGGCTCTTCTCACTAGCCCCGCTCCTGGGCTCCTGCAGGAGAGCCCCGGCATGCCCGCCCGGCCCTGAGACACCCCCGGTTCCTGCTGCAAGAACCAGGGGCGAGCGCAAGGAGGCAGACCGGCTCCCTGCCTCACTCCCCACAGATTCTCCTGTGGTTCTCGGTGACGTTCACTCCCACAGCACCCTGAGAGCTCGCTCCTCTCTGTGCCCAGCATATTCTTCCCCAAGATGTCAGCCAGTTCACTCCCTTCCTCCCTTCATGTCTCTGCTCGAATGTCACCTTAATAGCAAGGTCTTCCTTGACCATCCTTTTTAAAATTGCAGTCCATTGCCCCAATCCTCTTCCTTGCTTTATTTTTCTTCATGGCACTTGTCAGGTATACCTTTTACTTGGTTATTTCTTTATTTTCTATTCCCTGCACTGGATTATAAGCTATCGCGCAAAGAGGACGGGGGGACTTGTGTCTGTTTCTGTTCCCGACTAATCCCCAGCACCTAAAATAGGGCCTGGCCCATAGAATGAGCTCAACAAAAATGTGTTCACCAAATGAATCAATGAAAGAACGAGTGGGTCCCTCCGACACTCTGGTCTCTCCCAGTGCTTGCCTTCCGGAGCACCCAGAGCCACGGCCTTCCCTTGACCCTGGCCGCCCCTCCCACAGTCGAGTCCCAGGCCCTGTCATACCACAATCTCCAACTACCGTCTCCGACCTATCCAGCTGACTTGCTCTATTTCTACCACCACAATTATTCTGCTTCATCAAAAACGCATTTACAGTCCATTTCCTTACCTGCTTTACATTCCAGTCAACCAACTACACACACCCTCTGCAGATGCTCTAAGGACACCCTTGTTTTTCACTGCCAGCAAATCCCAGCCCATGATCCTCCTATTCCATGCTTGACTCAACTAATACCAACGACTAGCGTTTACTGAATACAAAATAGGCACCGATTCGTACACGTTACATTAATTTTTTTTAATTCTCACAACTAGCCTATGAGCTGGGCGCCACGATGCTCATCCTCACTGTACAGAGAAAATACAGCCCGTTCACTTGCTGAGGAGAGAGAGATGCACAATGAAGTCACCAGACCTCACTTTAAATGGGTGGCAACAAATTTCCAGTGGGCCCTGAGCACAGAACAGCAACGCTACCACGTTCCTTGCTGCCTCTGATTTCCTACTCCCCGGGACCAATCATTCACACCTTATGCGCTCTCCCCACAGACCCTCTTCCTTCAACTGATAACCTCCCTTCATGCTTCACTGAAAAGTCAAGTGAGGAGATGTGGAAATCCTCCAACCACTGAGCAGCTGCCTCACTTCCTACTGCAAGAGAGGACTCTGCACCTAACAAAGTCCTCTGCTGTGCTCCGGATCCTGTCCTCAGTCAGCCGCTCAGGGACCTGCTACCCCCTCTCTCCTCCAGCATCAGTTCCTCCCTGTCTCTTGGGTTATTTCCGACCCTGCAGAAGCACCCCATTAACCCTTCTTTGGCCCCATATTCCCTCTGGTCACCATCCCATTTCTCAACTCCCATCCACAAGAAAACTTTCCAAAGAATTGTCTCCAACTCCTCTTCCCCCTGCCCTACTTGGCTTCTGCCTCCATCACTCCTCGGAAAGTGCTCTTGCCAAGGTCACTAATGTCTTCTTGGGTCATTCTCTAAATTTGTCTCACCCTCAACAGCATTAGACCTGACTCTGCCCCTGCTTTTGTCATCCCTCTTGCCCTCCACTCCATCTGCTGGAGCGCTCGGGGCTCTGTTAGAGCCTTCTTTTTTTTTTTTTAAAGATTTTATTTATTTATTTGACAGAGAGAGACACAGCGAGAGAGGGAGCACAAGCAGGGGGAGTGGAAGAGGGAGAAGCAGGCTTCCCGCTGAGCAGGGAGCCTGATGTGGGGCTCAATCCCAGGACCCTGGGATCATGACCTGAGCTGAAGGCAGACGCTTAACGACTGAGCCACCCAGGCGCCCTAGAGCCTTCTCCTTCTCCAGCTACACTCAAGACTGAATCCGTTCACAAGATACCAGGTACCATCTACATGCTTCTCCGCTTCCCAAAGTACACCCCCAGCCCCAATTTCTCCCTTAGCTTCACATTTCACAGATCTAAACACTCTTGACTTGTCCCAATACCTCTTCATATCTGTTTCCTCCTGAGTTAAATCGTACCACCACCTGCCTGGCTGTAAACACCTGGACCCTTGATTGTTTCCTTCCCTGCACCTTCACATCCAATTGACCTCCACGTCCTACAAAATACACTTTGAATCAGCCACACCTCTCTATTTCTCCTGCTGCCACTCCAGCCCGAGCCACCACCGTTTCTCACCAGGACCATGATAGATGCATCCCAATGAATCCCCCTGATTTCACTCTTGTTCACCACAATCCATTCTCTAAAAACTTCAGCCATCATTTCGCTCTTCTGTTTTAAAACTCTCCTCTGGTTTTTCAAACTCCAAATGGCCTACCCATCAGATCCGACATGGGTCACGGGTCATGGGATCCATCCTCACACTTTCCCCCTCACTGGCCTCAGTCCAGGCACGCTGGCCTTCCTTCTGTTCCCTGAAAACACAAAGCTCCTGCTCCACTCTGGGGCTCTGTAATGTCACTGCCTCTTCCTGGGATGCTCTTTCTACAGCCCCTCACATGATTGATCCCATCATCCTTCACGTCTCAGCTCAAATATCGCCTCTTCAGAGAGCCCCTTCCTTATCTAAAGTGGTCTCCTCAAGTTAGTCCTTCCTCATTCTGTTTCTTTTCTTCACAGCATTTAGCATAATGCGTGATGAACTTCGTTATTTATCGCTTTACGTGTGTGTCGTCTAGCTTCCACAAGAGAAAGCAAACAAGCTCTTCACCTGTCTGCTTCAGCACTTTATCCCAGCACCAAACACAGTAACTGATCCTTTGGCGGTCATTCAGCAAACATCTGTAAGTCAATTAAATACTGCCCTGAGAAACCCACTACTCTTTTACAGAAAACAAGTATCCACAACTCAAGGAAGGAAGGACACCTCTCTAAACTTCACATCCTGGCTAGCAAGTGCCACCTGCGTACATTCATGAAGAAATGTTCTGTTTGTGAACAGGAAACATGTGGACTCAACTTTCTCCACCTACTTGAAGGACTGAAATGGCAGCATTGGTGAAGGGTCACAGGTAGTCCCTACCCTTACCATCTCTGCATATTCCAGCTGCTCCCCGTCATTGTACAGCTCCGGGGGTAGGTTATAAATCCGTAGGATATTATCGGCACTATTAGTCAAGATGCAGGAACCATCAGGGGCCCTGTAGGAATGGGAAAGAGTTAGAAAGCTGGACAGGGCTCTGTTTTCCAAGTGCGGGGCTAAGACTCAGCCTATGCCTGGGGTAGGTAAGCCCCCACCCTACCCAAAGCCTTGAGGAAAGCAGAAGACACATAATCCTAGACGAAATTTAAGTTCAGTCCAAGAGAACTCTTACTCCTTCTCCCAGATAACCGGGGTTGTTTTATGGTAAAAATCCTGAGCACGGTTATCTCCCGCCAGATTATCCTTACTTACCACTTACAGCCTTTCAAGAAGTTCTCGGGGTGGCTGCTGAACTCCGACCAGGAACCACTGAGAAACTGAGGTAGCTGGGAGAAGCTGTAGTTCCAAGTGCTGGAAGGAAGATGGGGGGCCAACAAACTAGGTCGGCAAAGCAAGGAGGAAGCGGGCCTGCAGAAGTGGGGCTGAGGACGGGCGGATACGCGTGCAGTGCACTTCCACGCATCTCCCACTCCCGATCCCGATCCCCTCGGGCCCCGACGGCCCTGCCATCACCACTTACGCGTATCCCTCGTCCTCCAGGGCGGGGTCCTCAGACACACCTTCCACGGCTTCTCCGGGCCGCGACTCTGGCCCGTTCGCTTCTTCTGCAGGGAGGCTCACGTTTTCACAAAGTGCTGGCTCCTCGCTTCGAGGGCTCAACTCGCTAGGAGCAGCGAAGCCCGCCTCCGGGGCGGTGCAGGCAGAAGCTGAGCCGCCCTCCCCCGGCTCCTGGGAACCAGCCGTGCGATCCGGGGACGAGCGCGGAGGGTCGTCCCCAGCCGGTGGTGGTGGCGGCAACACTTCGGCATCCGTATTTTCTTCCGTCGGGGATGCCTGAGCGGGGGCCTGGTCCGCAGCAAGGCAGTCCGGGGCTAACCCGGGCGCCCCTGGTGCGCTCATGCTGCCGAGGAAGCAGGGACACCGGCCTCGGCCGCAACCCTCGTCCCGCGTGGCCGACACGACCCCAAAGTCCGCTCGGCTCCCGGACGCAGACCTGGAGAACGCGCCGGGGCCTTCCTCCTTCTTCCGGGAGGGGGCGGAAGACCCCCGGGAGGCGAGCCGGGAGGCGAGCCGGACAGGTGGACAAGCCGAGGCTGCAAGCACCGCGTCTCTCCGCCGGGTCGGTCGCTAAGAGCCGCTCGCTCTCGCGGGATTTGGCCCCGCCTTTCCATTGGACCTCCGCATCCCGGATCAGATTTCGCGGGCGACCCACGGGAGGGGCGGGTCACGCAGGCTTACCGTTCCCATCAAGCCGTGGGGCTCCTGGTGGCTGCTGGGTATTGTAGTCCGAGAGTTTCTGCCTCGGCGAGAAGTGCCTGCGCTCCCCCTGCCGTCTCCCTCGGGCACTCTTAAAGCACCTACTCCCCCCGCCACCTGCAGAGGGCGCCACCGCTATATTTGATTTTACAGGTTTTGACCGTCTTTTGCTTCTCATTCCGTCAAATTCCTGACTTCCGTCTCTTTTCATTCATTCAGTGTGTTTATTACCGTGCTCTTCCTTTCTACCCGGTACTGTACTAGGCACTGAGAAATACAACAATGAATAAGACAGTAGACAAGGTCTCTGCCCCCAAGGCTTACGCTGCTGTGTATTTAAGGCAAGGAACAGATCTTTGCAGAAAACGGTCAGGGCTGTGAAGGAAATTAAACAAGACGGTGTGATACAGAGTATCTGAAGGCATTCGTTGCATTCGGATGTTAAGGGAGTCCTTCCTAAAAGCTGACGTTTTAGCTGCTCAGAAGAAACTCTCCAGCTATCTGGGAGAGGAATGACAAGTGCAAAGGACCCTGTTCCTTCCACCTTCATGTTTTGACACATGGCAGGAGTCTTCTAAAATGGTTTCCACCAACTCTGCCCTCGCAGCTCTGGCTTGTCGAACTTCCCCCACCCCAACGTCAAGGAGCAACAGCACCAACACGGCGAGAGTCCCGACTGCCTCCCTGTCCTCCCCGCGGACTCCATCCCCACCTCCTCCGCCCCGGCGAACTGCTTGCCCTTACTTGTCATGGCGACTGTCCAGCTTTGTGCCAGGAGCCTCGCGGGGGTTGCTGGGATTGGGATTTTCCCCTCCCATGTGCTCCGACTGGCGCTAAAAGTTTTGAGCCTCTCAAAAGTCCAGAGCCACGATCCTGGGCGCAGGTGGCCGCTGGGCTCCGGGGTCACCTGGCGTCCGGCCTCGGAGCGTGCTTCCCAGGACGGTGACACGCTCCCCTGAGGTTCGGGTAAGCTCCTGACTGAGCCAGATGAGTCCTCTCTGAGTCACCGGCTCTCGGCTCCGTTTATTTTCAGCTTGGGAGAATTGAGGGGGTCTGGGGGTGGGGCACTGGGGACTTAGCGATTTGCGGGAACGGACGTTTGGCTGGCGGCACCAACCTAGGAATGCAAAGTTGGGAGGCCTGGGTGTAGGTGATGGGGATGTTAGGACCAGCCGGACTCGGAGCTGAACAGGAGAGTGGGACCTGCAGCAGGCCTAAGGGGTCCTTCCCCACCCCACCCCACCCATCCCAGTGCTCGGTGTGGGGAACCCTGAAATAAGACGCACAAAGCATCAGGGTCTGAGATTTTCGAATCTCGGAATTTGGGGGACCCGTGGCCCCAGATTTTCGAGCCCACCGCATCCTGGTGGAACCTCGGCTCCATTCCGAAATGACTATTCGGGGGGTTGATCCAGGAAGCCCAAGCTGCTAAGGTCCCATAACTTCCGGACCTTTGTCCTTCCTGGACGGCTCTTTCCAACCGATCCCCGGCTCCGCTAGATGGAGAAAATCCAGTTAGACTGTCAGTCGTGGAAGTGGGAAGCGCTCCACGGGAGGTCGGCCCGCGAGGCCGGGGAGGACTGTCCAGCTCCGAGAGGCCCGCGAGCCCTGTTATTGTTTGGCTGTACGTTTACATTTCTGCCACTTTGCCGCAGTGTTTCCGGTTTCTTTTTTCCGGAGCAGCTCACTGTCCACCCGGTTGGAGGGAAGAAGAGAGAAAATGTCATTTAGCCCGGCTCCGCTTAAGTGCAGGAGGAGCGGCTAGCCCCCTCCCCTGCTTTTTTTTTCCCCTTCCTGGACCACTTAGCTGCCACTCTGGGGTGGGAGGGAGGGTCTGTCTTGATGCAAACCTCAATCCCTCCCCCTCTTTGAATGGTGTGCTCCACCCCGTCGGCTGCAACCCGGGCGGACGCTACCATTGCGAGGGACGGGGTTTTAAAAAGCGTGCCGACGGCAGGCCCTGGGTATTTTCGAGAACGGGTTCATTTGAGAATTAAACGATGACAGAGTGCGACGGTGCGCCGTTTGTTTAGGGCCGGGACCCGGTTTCTTTGGCATCCGGCTCCGGGCTCAGCCATTCCGATTTCGGACGCAGAGCGAACGTCGTGGGGGCGGAAGGGGCGGGGGCTGGAGGGGGCGGGGCGAGCCGAGGAGAGCCGGGCCGAGCCGAGCGGAGCCGAGGGGAGCCGAGGGGAGCCGAAGGGGCGGGGGGCGGGCCTCCCGCCCGTCCGTCACTGCCGGCGCGGCGCTTCCAGCCTGCGCTCGCTCACCTGCGCACCTGCTGCGCACCTGCTCGGTACCGGCCCCCGCGCGCGGGGCGTGTGTGCAGCTTGTTCCGAAATCGAGGTAGCATTGACACCCACTGCAATTAGACGAGTTTTGGCAGCTAACCCCCAGCCTGTCAAAATGCACATTTTCATCGCCCTAGAGAAGGTTCTCGTGCCTCTACCCAATCAGTCTCTGACCCTCGTCTTTATTTTGAGTTCTGTCACCAGTTTTGCCTGTTGGAGAACGTCGTGTAAATGGACCCACACAGGATATGCTCCTTTGTGTAGGTTTCTGGTGGGCAGCATAATGCCTGTGACATGCATCCGTGTTACTAAATGTATCAGTGTTTTGCTCCTTTGTATTTAGCACATCTCATCGGATGAATAAACCGTGGATTGTTTATCCATTCTCCTTTCGGTGACCATTTGAGTGGTTTCCCGTTTGGGGTTATTTCGAATAAAGCTGCTATTAACATTCTTGTACAATTCTCTTTGTGGTCATATGTTTTCATATTTTTATTATTATTTGGATAACTGCTTGGGCATGGAATTGCTAGGTAAGAGAGGGGATATAAACTTGACTTTTTAAATTCTCATATTTCAAAGTGGTTGTCCCGGTGTTACATTCCCACCAGCAAGAGCCATCCTTCCTCACATTTGGTTTGTCAGTCTTTCTAATGTGGTACATCATTGTGGTTTTAATTTGCAATCCTCTTAGCTAGGATCAGTTTTCATGTGCTTATTGGCCATTCCTATGTCATAATGGAAGCGGCTTTTCAAATCTTTCCCCCATTTTTTTGAAGTTGGTTTATTTGCTTTTTTAAATTGTGTTCAGCTGCATGCAGTTCCTTATATATTCTGGATAGGCTTCTTTTGTCACTATTTGTGTTTTCTCCTGACCTGTTACTTGCCTCTCTGTCACTGTCTAAGAAGGAGCAGCAGAAGATTCATCTTCTGTCTTTCAAATGTTTTCTGTGACCTGTTTAGAAAATCTTTGCTGACCCTAAGGTCATGAAGAATCTCTAGGATATTTTCTTCAAGAACCTTTACGGTTTTAGGTTTTATACTTAAGTCTATGAGCCATAATTAATTAATTAATTTTAAAATAATTTTTATGATGTGAGGTAGGAGTTCTGGTTTTTTTGGGGGGGGGGATTCCTATATAGATATCCTGTTCCTCTAGCTCCACTTGTTGAAACAGCCCTCCTTTCCCCCACTAAAATGCTTTTAATTGGAGTGCTTGGTCCATTTAATTTAATGCAGTTATTGTAAGGTTTGGGTTTAAGTCTACCATGTTAACGCTGTTTTCTATTCTATTTCTTCTTTGTTCTTCTCTTCAAGCATTTGAGGAAGAAACAGTACCAATCTTATGCAAACTTTCAGAATATAGAAGAGGTAACATTTCCCAACTAATTTCATGATATCCTGAGAATCCTGATACCAAAACCATACAAGGGCGTTACAAGAAAAGAACATTTAGACCAATATTCTTGCTAATATATACATATATATGCAAATATGTATATACATATGTATATGCAAATATGTATATGCAAAAATCTTAGCAAATCAAATCTGATAATCTATAAAAGTGGTAAATACATCCTGACCAAGTAGAGTTTATCTCTAGACTGCAATGATGTTTTAACATTTAAAAAATCAGTGTAATTTGCCACACTAACAGATTGAAGGATACAAATCCTATGATCATTTCAACAGATGCATAAAAAGCAGTTGACATTATGCAGCACCTATTCGTGATTTTAAAAAGAAAAGAAAAGCCAAGCTCCCAACAAACTAGGAAAAGGAAAGCTTTCTCAGTCTGATAAAGGGCACCCCCAATCAAGTTACCATCAATACATAATCATGACAGACTGAATGCTTGTTTTCTAAGATCAGGAACTAGGAAAGGATTTGATTCTCACCCCTTCAACATTACACTGAAGGTGTTAACCAGGCTAATAGAAGATCCATTGAAAAACAGCACCCGGCTGGCTCAGTTGGTAGAGCATGCAACTCTTGATCTCAGGGTTGGAAGTTTGAGCCCCATGTTGGATGTAGAGATTACTTACAAAATAAAATCTTTTAAAAAGAAAAACTATCATGACTGATAAGTGATGATAGCAAGGTCACAGGTTTCAAAGGCAATATACATAAATTGTATTTTTATATAACAGCAACCATTGAATCTGAAGTCGGAAAATGAATTGTAAAAACAGTGCCACTTACAAAGCATCCAAAAACATAGCATACATACCTGGGGATAAATTGAACAAAAGATGGACAAGGGTTCTATATTAAAAACTGCAAACTATTGCTGAGAGAATTTAAGGAAGATTTAAATAACAGAGTACCATATTCATGGATGGAACACTCAATAGTGTTGAGATGTCAGTACTCTCCAAAATGATTTAGTTTGATCCCAATCAAAATCCTAGCAGGTCTGTTTGTAGAAACTGACAAGCCGATTCCAAAATGAAAATGTAGTACAAAGTTGGAGGTCTTAAACTAGCTGACTTTCAAGATTACTATAAAGCTACTGTAGGACAACAACCGTGAACAGAATAGAGCCCAGGAAAAGACACGTGAGTGTAGTCAAATGGTTTTCTACAAAGGCCCCAGAATGAAGCCATGCTAAAACAACTGGAAGTGGAAAATGGACTTTGACCCCTGACCCTTAACCCCTACCTCACACCATACAAAGTTTGAGATGGATAGTAGACCTAAGCATAAAATGTATAACTTTCAGAAGGAAACACGGCAAAGTGTCTTAGGCTTGGTAGGGCTAGGTTACAAGGTTGTATCAAAATGTGTCAAATTGGTTTTCTAATTGGTAAAATTAAGATTGTGCATTTCAACTTATGTAGATTTTACCTCAGAAACATTTGTGGGCTTCTGGGGAGCGGCTGGGGGTTTAGGGGAGACAATAAAGGCAGAATGTTGATTATTCTTGAAGCTGGAAGATGGATACACGGGAGTACATCTTTCTTTTTTAGGTTTTTTTATTTTAGAAAAACACAGATGAGAATAATACAACACTCGTATTCCCACCAAAGAATTATAACACTTAACATTTGTCTTATTTGTGTCCCTATTTTAATATACAAGTAATGTATGAATACCATCTTTTTAAATCTTCCTTCATTAATCAAGCCAGAACCCTGTGGTGGTACCCCCAGTCCCATGAGCATACATACCTCCCTCTCTCTGAGACCATCACTATCATAGTTTGTGTTTATTCTTGCCTGTCTTTCATACTTCCACGTATATATGTTTATAAGCAATAAATACAGTTGACCCTTGAACAGCACAGGTTTGAACTGCATGAGACCACTTATCATGGATTTTTTGGATAAATAGAGTATAGTACTGTGAATGCCTTTTTTTTCCTCGTGATTATCTTAATAGCATTATCTCTAGCTTGCTTTTTTTAAGATTTTATTTATTTATTTGAGAGGGAGAGCGAGCATGAGCAGGGGGAGAAGCAGGCTCCCCGCTGAGCAGGGAGCCCCATGTGGGGGTTCAATCTCAAGACCCTGGGATCATGACCTGAGCTGAAGACAGATGCTCAACCGACTTAGCCACGCAGGCACCCCTCTCTCTAGCTTACTTGAAGAATATAGTATATATAAAACTAATGATGTAATGTATGGGGATTAACATAACAATAAAAAAATTTTTTAAAAAAAGAACATAGTATATAAGAGGTGCCTGGGTGGCTCAGTCGGTGAAGCATCTGCCTTCCGTTCAGGTAGTGATCTTTGGGTCCTGGGATCGAGCCCCGTGTTGGACTCTCTGCTCAGTGGGGAGTCTGCTTCTCCCTCTCTCTCTCTCCCTCTGTGCTCTCTCCCTCTGTGTGCTCTCTCTCTCAAATAAATAAAATCTTTAAAAAGAAAGAATATAGTATATATAGTACATACACAAAATATGCGTTAATTGTTGATGTTATTGGTAAGGCTTCT